ATACCTCCACCGTTTTGACATGGCTGTCGTGAAGCTGGTATCAAAACGTTTGGTGGTTCCATGGTCTTTCCATCTGGTTCACCACGATGTCGCACGTAACTTGCAAATGCTCCTCCCAATCGCGGTCGTTCTACAAGATTTTTCTCAGTATGGGTCACAGAAGCTAAACTCTCCATGGAACTACCTGAATCTAAGCTAAGACTTTTTGGTGCTTCTTGTGTATCTGCAATTGATAATACACACATACAAATAATACAATTAATTTACATTTATTACGCTCATCTAATATAATATGTATATCAATATCAATTTTAATTTACCAAATAATGCAAGAAGAGCTTGAAGAGCAAATTGGACAGCTCTACGTGAGGCTTGTTTGCCTGTTCTCAATATCACTTCTGATTGTCCGACTTCCATCAAGTCGAAACCTAAACTAGCGAACAGTTCGTGTGATCCTGATGCTCTCCAAACATGTACAGGCAATATAACTTCTTGTCCTTCTGTGGCACAACTGGCTCTTCTCATAGCAGCGATGACGTCCTCTGCGGCTTCTGGCGCCTGAAATATTTTTTACATAATCGATTTTTACATAATCGAAAATGAGAACCTTATATGTATTTGATTAAACATTAATTAAAATAAGTCATACTTGTAAGAGTCTCGCCAAAGCATGCAATGACGATTGACCTAATCCTAGTAGAGCTTGCAAGCTAGCGCTGCATCTCGTCAGTCTTTCTTCAGGATCGCTTTGTGGAAAGAATACGGAGGACGGTATACCATTGCCGGCCGGCTCGAATCTGAATCCCACGGACATTAGAAGCTCTCGCCATCCGGTGGCCGCGCCCACCTTGTTCTCGATACTGCGCTGAGTCGTATACATAGCGTTCTTCTGACCGCGATGAATTCTTTGTAATGACTTTTCTACCAGATGAAGCGTCACTCGCAGCGCGTCCCTACTCTGCTCGGGACCACCACGCAATAATTCCGCTAGTGCTTGACCCATTAGCGCGACCTGTCGAAACAAGAGAAGAAAATAATGAAATATTATAATTAAAGCTGCAAAATTTAAATAAGATTAGATTTATTTAGGACGTATCTAAGCTTTAATCAATCGATTTGTTTTGCATTTTGTAATTACTCAAATAGCACATATAATTTCTATCAAATGTACCTTGTTGGATAATCTTGTGTCTCCACCGATAAGCAGCCAACCAGCCCAGTTAGCAGGATGAGCAAAATGTCTGGTATGCTGAACAGTTTGCATCGCCTCGGCTAATGCACGCGACGCCCTCGCGCCTTGCAACATTGCGCTGTAGAACGCTCGTAATAAGATACTACCGGCAGTTGGTGGTACTGCCCACATCCCTATGAGCACACATTGCGCGCCTGCGCTTAATAAAGTCTTGGCGATATTCTGTATACCATCCGATGTGGCATTCGTGCAATCTACGTTGCTCCAACTCTGACCACTGGATACGACCACCAGACGGGCGGACATCTTTAATCTGAGTAAATCTGTCTGATTTATCAGGTACTCCGGCCTTTCAGATGGCTCCTCGCATTGATCAGGCGAGAACGCAAGACTACCGGTATTCCAGAAGACCGGCACTGTCAGATGAACACACTCCGCATCTGGTAGAGATCGCAGAACCGCTGATCTGGTAGCTTCCAATCCTATTATGAATAAAGAGAGAAAATTTTAAGTAACAAACTTTCACAAATAACTTTCGAAGTTGTGATACAATTAGGAAAAGTTTTTTAGAACTGTAGCTGAACTAACCAGTCATTGCACGAGCCTCTAATAATTCAGCGACTATTTCTGACTCGGTCTCGGTAGAAGTGGTGCTTTCAGCCCATCCGTACTCCTCTCGAACGTCCTCTGGTAGAATAGGGTTTCCGGCGACCAGCGCAGCTACAGTAGCACCGCCTTCTAGCACAGGTGTTTTCGATCTCTTTCTAAGCGCCGCAAGGGATGGTACCACTAATAATGAGAATCTTTCACACAGATAATCCTCGCCTGGATTGGATTGCAAAGCCGGGAACGGTGCCAAGTAAAGAGATTTCTCTACCACCATAATCAGCTCCTTTCGTGGTGGCGGTAGTAGATCTTCAAACGGGGCAAGAAGAAGATCGTAGAGTACTTGTATCGGCATTGGTGCTTGCCACGTAGGTCCTTTCGCACCTCGTCCCCAACGAGCGCTTCCAGCACGAGAGCTCACAGAGCCGACACTGAAGAGACTACTCAAACTATAGGAACTAGCATTCAAGTGATGACCTCTTGACGGGATTTTAGTGGATTCTTCGATAAGCTCGTTGCTTTCATCCAGGAGCGCTTCGCGTGCTTGAAGAACTCTCTTTTCTAAACCTACCCCATCGTCCAATGTTGCGGAGTGGAATCGTAATAGTCCACGTCCTGGCGCTAAGCACCACGCATGCAATTCACATCCCACCTCGCTGAAATTATTTTGTTCAGTTATTTTAATTTTTTAAGAGTAAACATATAAATTATTATAGTAAATTAAATAAATTATATCTTATTTCAAACTATAATATTTGAAAAAAGATTATACCTATAATACAGGATAACTCCACGTTGTCGATCAATGATCTCAGAGTAATGAGCTGCATCATCCAAAGAATTACTTTTAGATCGTCTGGATCTTTCTGCCCAATTCAAAGCCTCCTCTGCTCGGTTTAGATTGATTAGTACCTTTTGCAACATTCTGTATGTTTCTGATAATAACTCTGCTCGATTAGGTTGACCGCAAGAAAGAGACACAGAAGTTCCATCTAACGATTCTAAGAGATTTGCGGCCTTCTCCAAGTGTTCCACAGAGATGATCGCTTCTCCGGTCTCCCAGTGAACAAGACCAAGTCTGTGTCTCAATCTGGCAGCTTCTTCTCTTCTGCCTAAGCCTTCAGACAAAGACAAACCAGATTGTAGATAACTTAGAGCACGTGGCAGGTCTCCACACAAATGATGAAGTCGACCCAAACTCGCGAAAGCTGCTGCTCGAGCGGGTTGATCGCCTGCTGCGGCCGCAAGGCTCAACGACTGTTCCTGCAACCTTATAGCTTCCTCGTATTGTCCCAATGTCTCCTGAGTCACTCCTAAATTGGCACAAGCACGAGCTTGTAAGCCAGCCGCGTCTAAACCTTCAGCGATCGACAGCTCCAATTGATGATGGCGTAACGCGGAATTCGGATCGTCCATTAGAAGATGTACTGCTCCCAAACCGCTGGCAGCTTCGGCCTCGGCCGCTTTGTCGCCGAGCCCACGAGCGAGGGCCAATTGGTGCGACAGACAACTAACAGCTTGCTCATGATTTCCTAACGCAGCATGTACTCTGCCTATAAATTAACAGCAATTACATATGTAATGTTAATATTAGGCGATCGAAAAAATTTGCTTTTTGGTTTTTGTAAAAATATATCTAAAAATTTATTATAATCTCTTTCCTCTTTAAGAATTTAATAAAATTAATCTAAATTTTATTACATCAGTTTACCTAGATCACCGTAAGCGGCACCTCTCGCCTCAGGACTGTCCACTTCATGAGCGGCTACTAATCTCTTCTCAAAACATACCAAGGCTTCCTGTAAGTTCCCGGTAGCCTCGCGAGCTCTTCCCAATCCTCTGTATGCCCTCTCCTGATCTCTGATGCTTTTCAACTTCGTAGCGGCTGTCAGTTGTTGTTCATGACATTTGATAGCTTCTTCCAGATCACCCAAAGCTTCATAACAGTCTCCCAAATTTCCGAGAGCTCGAGCTTTGTCAAGTAAAGCGGTGCCGGTAGTTAGCGGTTCTAAAGTTGCTAACTGTTGTTCGAAATAACCGATAGCATCCTCGTAATGCGTCATATTAAGCCTAGCTATGCCCAAATTTCCTAAAAAGTGAGTGTAAGAAGAAAAAAGATATTATTAACTTATTAATATTAAAAAAAAAATATTTTTATATTTTTTATACAAAGAATTATTTTCTTCTTAATTCTAGTCACATTCTATATATATATATATATATATTGTTGAATTTACCTTTCTCACTTAAGTGAAAAATTTTAAATACATGTCTCAAATATTTAATTTTAAATTATACACATTTAAATATTATAAATTTATATTACCTAATGCTTGGGCTTCAACTCCAGAATCCGCTAGTTCCTTCGCTCTCTCTAATTGTTCTTGATAACACTTGACCGCATGAGTGTACTGTCCCAATGCCATATGCACAGCACCTAGGTTTCCATGTGCCCTGCATTCACCGCGCAAGTCACCGGCTTCTTGTCTTAGAGTTAATTCTTGCGTGTGAAAACCGAGAGCCTTGTCCAAGTTCTTCGTAGCTCTATGAGCGATCCCCAATGCACCGTAGGCAGCCGCTTCCAGGCAACGATCGGCAGCTTGACGCGCCAAATTCAACTGGCGTTGATGCATCTTGATAGCTTCATCAACCTCTCCCATGCGCAACAAACAATCACCAATATTTCCCAGAGCGCGAAACTTACCAGCCAGATGCTTGGTCATATGCGCGATTGCTAAATTAAATTAACGATACAATGTATTTTTTATCATTATATATTTTA